GTGGATTTCCTTCGACCTCTTTCATAACATGTTACAGTCGTCGGGTAAAAACTTCGACCAACAACCTATGATAGGTCAACCATCTTAAGTGGATTTCATATGACTTTGTTCATTACGAGTTAATACCGTCAAGCTTCTCCGGTTACACAACTCAGAATCCAGAACTAATCTTACATCCTCAATGGATTCTCCTTTCAACCATGCCACTGAAAATCAAGCCGAAAAGGCAAGACTCGATAAGAAGCTACAATGTCGCTAGAAGACAAGCCCAAGAGGGTCTCCACTGCAAAACCTCATAAGGCTACGAGCCTTGGAAGAATTTCGTACGATTGAGAAGCCAGATTGAGAAGCCACAACAGATTGAGAAGCCACAACAATCGTGGAAGAAGCAAGGAAATACATTATCATCATCTATAAATGTCACATATAATTGTTAAAAATGCTACAAAGACCAACATATATTTATACAAGAGTTACAACAAATTTGCTCATCTTCTATTAGAGTTGACATCGCCTCCCCAAAAGACAGTACTTCTGATGATCATCAAGAGGTCTCCCGATATCGCTACCATATAAGCATGAAAATCTTCTCCTCAAAGCACTACAACAAAACTATAACATTTCTTCATCACCTTTAGAACTTGCAAGGGTGGCACGAGAGTCTCCTCTGAAATACACGACATAAACGAGAAATAAGATCCCGTTGCTTGCCTGCTACGCAGGACGAGGACGATTTTTCTCTTCTCCGCAACAAGAAAGAAGATCTCGTTGCTTGTCTGCTACGCAAGACGGGGATGACTTTCCACTTCACCGCAACAAGAAAGAAGATCTCGCTGCTTGTCTGCTACGCAGGACGGGGACGACTTTCCTCTTCGCCACAATGAGAAAGAAGATCTCGCTGCTTGTCTGCTACGTAGAACGGGAACGACTTTCCTCTTCGCTGCAACAAGAAAGAAGATCTACGCAGGACAGGGACAACTTTCCTCTTAGCCTCAACGAGAAAGAAGATCCCGTTGTTTGTCTGCTATGCAGGACGAAGACGACTTTCCTCTTTGCCGCAACGAGAAAAAGATCTCATTGCTTGCCTGCTATGTAGGACAAAGACGACTTTTCTCTTCGCCGTAACGAGAAATAAGATCTTGTTGCTTGTCTGCTACGCAGGATAAAGACGACTTTCCTCATTGCCGCAACAAGAAAGAAGATATCGTTGTTTGTCTGCTACGCAGGACGCGGACGAATTTTCTCTTCACCACAACAAGAAAGAATATCTCGTTGCTTTCCTGCTATGCAAGACGTGGACAACTTTCCTCTTCGCCGCAACAAAAAATAAGATCTCGTTGCTTACCTGCTGCGTAGGACGGGGACTACTTTCCTCTTTGCCGCAACCAGAAAGAAGATCCTGTTCCTTGCCAGCTACGCAGGACGGGGAAGACTTTCCTCTTCATCGCAACGAGAAAAAAAATCCCGTTGATTGCCTGTTACGCAAGACGGGGACGACTTTCCTCTTCGCCGCAACAAGAAAGAATATATTGTTGCTTGTCTGCTATGTAGAACGAGGTCAACTTTCCTATTCCCCACAACAAGAAAGAAGATCTTGTTGCTTGTCTGCTACGCAAGACGAGGACAACTTTTCTCTTCGCCACAATAAGAAACAAGATCCCGTTGCTTGTCTGCTACATATAACGGCGACGACTTTCCTCTTCACCGCAATGCCTCGCCACAAAGCTTCACCACAACTCTGCACCGAGACTCTCCACTGCAACCCTTAACCCCAACTCTTCGTCGAAACTCTGCACCGCAATTTTGCATCTTGACTCTGCACCACAACTCTTCACCGCAACTCTTTGCCGCTATGATAAACGATTTTCTTCTTCTGGAAAATCCTGGATCAGCTGAGGACTCCACCTCTACCCACACATTCAGGCGTATTTACAGGCTCAAAAAGGGATTCAACATTAAATGCACATTATTATATAAAATATAAAAACATGTGCACACATTAAATGCTCGTAAAATTTTTAAAAAATTAGGGTTAAATTCTATTAATCTTCTTTTCGGGATTCAAATTCCTTTTCAAATTCTTCATCGGGTTAAATTCTTTAATCTCTTTAAATTCCTTTGTCAAAATATTATTTTTTATATTTTAGGCAGGATTCGAATCCTACCACCCTCTCATAAAGCAAAAGATGCTTACCAATTGAGTTTTATTCAACTTATTAATATATAAGGAGAAAATTTGTCTTATACCGATACTAATAAAATAATATATATTGATACATATGCAAGACATAAATGCTCCTGATCTTGATATTTTTAGACGATACAAATGGTCTCGCTTGAAAATAAGGGGCAACTGATACGGTTATTGATACATCATTAATAAATTTTTATCATCTGACACAAATCTCGAAGCATAACACAAATCTCAAGATGATATTTTAAGCAAGAAACTAACCGGTTCAATGAGACAGATTTCAACAAACTTATAGTCAAATTGATCGGCTCGATGAGACAGACCTAATAATATGAAAACTAGTACAATCCGAGTCAAAGCAAGCTCAGATCAAGTCATTAAACCACCCTTAAAAGATTTTTGTACACATTTGGAAGGTCAAACATGTGTCGACACTGACAAGTTTATACTTGAATCGAGCGGCTCGATAAGAAGAATCCAACGAGCCCAAGTTCACTCAATTCCGACATCGTTAAGGCACTCAAATTTTCATTAAACACATCATGATCGGAGGAAACTCTCTGGACCGTCTGATCAAAATTGTTGATGTTTCTGCATTAATTGCACCTAAAACACTATAAATTGACCCCCACCTCTCACATGAAAGGGAGCTGAAGTCTAGAGAGAGAGTCTGATGCCTTGAGAATAAGCTGCAGCTCAGCATCACCGTCGACCGCCGACCTCCGACGACCACCGTCAACCGTCGTCGACCACCGCCGACCTTTGACAACTGTCATTGACTACCACTAACAACCATCGATCACCACCAATCAGACACTGTCAGTCCACGTTGTAATCTAAAAAATATAGTTACCATTTCCCTTCCGTTGGACAAAAGATTACTGTAATCAACAATCAATAGTGGATTTCTGCAACTGGGATATGCCCCGTGGTTTTTCCCTTATGGGTTTTTCACGTTAAAACTTTTGTAGTCATCACCACTTGTTTCTCTTTCATCTATATGCATGTTGAACTTTCGTACAACACTAAGATGATAGTCCGTTACGCTACCGCCGTGAATTTTCTAGCACGCATCAACACACACACACACACACACACACACGTACTTACAACTGACGAACAGATGCCCGACTAACCGATCTGAGTACGTGGCACAAACACATGCACGCACACACGCATATATATGTGTACGCATGCATCCATGCATCCACGTATGCATGCACATGCATCTATTTATGTACACGCATGCATACATGTACGCATGCATATTTGCATCTATGTATGTATACATATATGTATATATGTATACATATATGTATATCTATATCTATATGTGTGTGTGTGTACACATATATCTATACTTGTCGTGCGCTGGAAAATTACGATTGCAGAGTAGTAATTTAATGTCATAGCATTTCATGAAGATCCAACACACATAATAATAAAAAAAATTGCGGGAGGATAAACTATTTTTTATGTGGAAAAAACCCTATAAAGTGAAAAACCTCGAGATCTTGTCTAATCAAATCTTGTTTTTTAGAACATTCATAGTAGTAGAGTAATAAATTATCATCATAGCATTATAGAATAATTTAACACACACAAATATAATAAAAATGATAGGTAGAGACACCAAAAATTTTTTTATATGAAAACCTCGAAAGAAAAAAAATAACCACGAGGTCTTGCCTAATTAAAATAATTCACAATGAGTTGATGATTACACGTAGAAGTTATTTGTCCCACAGGCGAGAAAAGGATTACGTAGTTCCTGTAGGTAAAATTTTTATTACATAATGACAAGAGTAATTGCATTTAGGAATAATTGATTCAAATGTAGTGCACCATCTTCGATGTGTGTTGTTACTTAACAACATAAGCCGAGATCTTGTAACACACTTTGTGATTCCACAATGAATTTTCATTGCAATGAGCCTAGGGCAGCCAATGGTGGTCGTCGACGATTGGAAGTTGCATGAGTAGGTAGCATTCGCTGGGTCTTCGGTTCAAGACGATACCGAACTTCAACTCATTCTTCCTGGTCTTACTCCAAGTTGAGATATTCCTCACGTTCAAGATTTAGCCTACTAGGCCCTCTTTCACAAAGGGAGTAGAGCTTTATTTATATTATATGTAATAAGCCTCTATAACAATAAAAAAAAATCCGAGTCATTGCATTAGATTGTTCGAAGAGGTTCACTCAATAGAATGACATTCTATAAACATTCAAGTGCCTTAACGATATAAAAATTGAATGATCTTATGCACGTTGGATTCACAGTCGAGAGACTGAATTTGATCATAAGTTTCTTTGATTTGAAATTTCTTTGACTTTCAATTATTTAAAAAAAAAAAAAAAAAAAAAAAAAAAAACTCTCAAAAATAGTTTACAAATTTGATACGGGTCGGGTTTGACATAGGTTAGGCCAATTTTAGTGTCATAGTGTTGTTCTCATTGAGTCAGTCAATTTAACTTTATGTTTACTGAAATTAGAGTTTTAAATTTTTTTTTAATCGGGGTACTATAATTTCATGTTTAAAAATTTACCTCGATTTTCATGCCACATCTCAAGTTTTGTGTCAGATAATGAAAATTGTATTTATGAAAGTTAAGTTGTGAGATAGTTAAATATGAAATTTAATTGTAGGATTGGACATGCAAAGTTTTAATTTTCAAAATATTTAATAATTTTTTTTAAATTATATTATAATTTTGGAATTAATTAAAAGTAAGAATCAGGATTAATTTAAAATTCTGTCGTATGTATACTTAAAACTATCTTAATCAACACACCAATAACAAATACTCATCTTCGTTCACCTGAAACCATCGTCGAGAAAGAGTTGGGAGCCCTACTGGCGCTCGCCGGAGAAGAATCGACGGGAGCAGCGGCGTGTGAAGACGATACGTGTCAGTTCGTCGGCGCTTCTCTGTTGTGGAAAGCGGAGACACGCAGTCGCCATTATTTTACTCATATAAAGGTGAGCAGTTGCATCTCCTCGCCGTCTCACTTTTCCAAGCTCTGTTTATCGCACCTTTTTTTTCCTTCTTTTGTTGTTGGGGTATTCAGGATTCATATAGCAACGAAGGGGAGGAAACAAAGCACACAATCACTTAAAATGGATGCGGGTGGATGAGGATGGAAATGAAATATTTCATTTCTATTACTTTTTTTGTAGTAAGAGGATAGGGACTTAGATTTATAATCTTGCTTGACATGAATGCCAGGAGAAGCCTTACTGCAATTAGGGATATCCATCTCTGTAAAACATCATCATGTAAGAATATGAATAACCTAATATATACGAACATATATTCAAGATATCCCATATAAAAAGTTGAAGGTCTTACATAACATTCCGATTCGGTTTTTTTGTTGTGTATCAATTTGTATGGTCTCAGGAGAATTATTTTCATGAAGAATTGGTGAAGACTTTGGTGGTGCACAATGTAATGTGATGATTATATATGTCTTAAAAACCCAACAGTTTTGTGTTGAAAGTCCCTGGTATTGCTTTGCTTATAATGAGGGGAAGTGCTTGTCAACTTGTTGCATATGCAAAATCTTGAATTCATAGGTGAAGTTAGCATAAACTCAACAATGTCAACATTCAATGGAGCTATATGATGCAAATTATCATCCCATGTAATCTTTGGCGTATCATGTGGAAGATTTTTTAATTCAGAAATAACTTTTAAAGGTTGTCTTTATGAATGAAGGGTTTGGTCAACGGTTGTACATTTGGAGTTTTAATTTGATGATCAATATACAACTCAAACTCGTCTTCTAAATTGTCATCATCATGAATTATGGGATCTTCAATTTAGACATCTTCATAGATCTCAAGTGGCTTGGCTTGGGAAAGGGCCAATCAATATTTTGAAATATAATTTTTTCGAAGCTATCATTGTAACATTAACTTGTTCATGAATTTACTTGATTGAAGTATGAACACTCTTATGTTGAGATCTATACATTACATGCAAGCTTCATCAAGGAAAGATCCACAAGGAGAGGAATGATAGAAATAGCACCTCTTTGATTGCGGTGGAGTTGGTGGAGGAGGCAAATGTTGATGAAGATCATTTTGAAAAAAAAATGTTATTCTAATTTCTTTCTCATAGTCCATTGAAAAGAAAAGTTTACAAAAATGATGAAAATCATAGAGATAAACACAACAGAATGAATGAAAATATGATTTATGATGTAAGTTTGTTAGAGGGTTCGTATTGAAAACTCTTTTGTTTTCATTGCTTGATAATAAGATGAAGAATTCATCATATGATACCTTCTTTTTTTTTTAAATCCTTCTACACAATATAGATATCCCCGTGACTTGAGGAGAGGAGGAATGCAGGGAGGTAAAGGCCATCCACTCCAATTTAGAGAGTAATTTTTTTATTTCCGAACGTCATTAGCCCTTAAATTGAAAATTGGGCTCTTATATTATAGTGAATTGCTGGAGTTTATAAGAAATTCTCTAATATAATCATTTAATAGTGGTAGACTCTTAGCAGTTAATGCAAGAATTACAACAAATTTTGGAAGTTTAGCACTATGTCTTCCATGAGGAGCAAATCAAAACCCATTACAATAGGAAGGTCTTACCAACATTAAATAACATTAGAATATGGATATCAATCATGGAAATTCTTTGTTCAAGAATTAATGACATTATAAAATCAAGAAGCTCAACATGTGGTGGAGTCATAGGATGAAGATCTTAAACTTGTGGAATATTTGGTGTTACTTATAGAAAATCATGTAACTTTAAATAATCATCTTGGCAAATTATAGTTTTTTTTCAAGAATTGAGCTTTATGAACTGGATATTATGGATCACCATGCAAATCCAACTCATTTTTCATGTCATCTTTATCATCAATTATGCGAACATTATAAACCTTCTTATCGTTCAGGGATTACTTCACTTGGGAAGGGGTCCTGGCAGGATATTGGGATATAATGCTTCGATATCTACTTCCTTGTGAATTTCATTGAAAGTATGAATATACTCAAGTTTAGAATGCATACGTTTTATGTGAGAGAAATCATGTCAAAATTCACAGAGGAATTGAAACTTTGTATCTCTTTAGTTGTGGTGGATTGTGGCTGAGAATTATGTCATGATCTTTAGGGAATAATAATCATGTTGATCAAACTAAAAATCATGTGAATAGTGCATGTGATCTGTGAGTACTGCAAGAATTATGAGGATATGAATGGTGATCATTGGACTAGTTAGATGAAGCTCTCTAATATTTTGGATGATAATATGATGAATAATTATCACGGAATATTTAAGAAGAAGAGTAATAACCATTCCTTAGGCTTGAATGATTAATATTTGTAAAAATGGTGAGCATTCCTTGGATTATATGAATTATAAGTGTGATAGTTCAACAATAGAAATGAGTAAAATGAGAGGTGAGAAGGGAAAGGGTTGGTTAAATAAAAACTCAAATAGGAAGGGAGTTAATTAAGTAGATTTTTAGGATTGTATAGGGATTAAATGTATTGGGGATTTGTAATAATTACAATGTATATGCTTTTACTTTCGATTAGATTGGAAGCAAGGTGAGGCATGGTCAAAGGATTTAGAAGTAAGAGGAAATGGATGTATTTGGGATTTAATGTAGTTTTAAATAACCTTGCTGATATGGAACCTCATGTTGACTTTGAAGTACAACTTAAATTGACTCAATTCAATCTCATTTTGAATTTTTTGACCACAAGTCAAAGAATCAAGTGGGAGTTAGAAGGTATAGTTTATAATGGGTTTGGGTTAAGTTAATTAATTGGGTGGAGCTTAGGCTTATTCATATTTTTTGGCCTGGGTTAATCAGAGGTTCATATTTTTGGGCGTTGAATATGAAATACCTTAAGAAAATAAATAGAAGCTCAATGGAAAAGAACTAATATAATGATAAAATGGGAGAGAGAGTTCATGTAGGAATGTGAAGCAAATGTGTAGACCGATATGGTGACAAGAGTTGTGGGAAAAAATCATGTAAACTATAGTTAACAACACTAGATGCAATGTTTAAGAGGAATGAATGACAAATAAAAATTCATCAAGCCAATCCAAATAATTAGGATAAGATGATGACGATGGTGAGAACTACGGTGAATGTCCTAGTTTCAAAATGCATATCTATAGAGAAAAGTGTTAATATTGTCTCCTAATTTTTTATAAGGGTTAATTTTAGTCCTGGAGTCAGTATAAGTGTCATTTTAGTCCCCAAATGTTTTTAAGATGGGCCTAAATAGTTTCCACGAATGACTGTTTAAGCCACAATTTAAAGAGTTAGGGGACTAATTTGACACTTTTGTAGATTCCGGGACTAAAATAGCCCATTAAACAATCGAAGGTCTATTTTGGCACTTTATTCCATAACTATATGTGGATATTTTGTTTCCTAGTAGTGTTAGAGACTCTTGTGAAATGTTTATATTGTATGAATATGGTTTTGTTTCTTCAAGTGGCTAATTGATTCTACAGTGGAAAGTTCTTCAATTTCAGCTTTTTTAAAGCCATTCCAAATGATGATGAGTCAAGTTGATGAATATATCTCCATCCTTATTGCAAATTTTATTTTCTCTCTTGCTAGTCAAGTTTTGAAAGGGCGCCCTTTGCAGGTTATAATCCTAATTTTTTCTTCAAATATCGATCTCTGCCTGTTTCATCTCAATCTACGGAAACTCATGAAGTAGAATGTAATATTTCATATTCTATGAAAAATAAAATGATTATACCATATTGTCATAATGATTACTCTTTAAAGTCTACATTGTCTTGTCTTAGGTGGCTTCACTTAAATTTGTAATGAATTAATGATATATGCGACTAGCTGGAAGCTTGTTATTATTTACTATCTTAGTTATCTCATCTCATTGACTATTAAAGTGGACTTTTTTATCTTGGCTATATAGGTGTACCAGGATGCTATCAGCTGGAATTTTCTCTTTTTATCATCCAGGTCTTTCCCATTTGTATCATCTACTTTTTCTAGAAAGATTCACATACATACAACTCAATTTTTATCTATTTACATATCCAACACCAAAACTTTAATTTTTACATATGCGCAACCTTATATGTGCATCAAATTGGGTATTTTACAATTTAAAAGTTAAATAGTGGTATCTTTAATGTGATATGAAAAATTTAGGTGTTTAAACGTAAAAAACAAAATTTAAGTTTTAGATACATAAATACATAAAAATTGGGTGATATGTATGTAAATGCCCCTTTTTTCTAACTTAAGTTTTCTAATCAAGGTGATAAATTTTGTTTTCTAGGTTCTCGCTTGTTCTACAGGCACGAACCTCTTGTCTCCACTTGGCCATCTGCTATGAGCAATTGCCAATTAACTTTGAAAATGGTCTACATGAAAATCCTTCACTCTCTGTATAATTGAGAATTTTTTTATTGTATTAAATAATAGGAAGATTTACATATGTACCACTCAATTCTTATGCGTGTACAATTTTGTGTATCTGATACCTAAACTTCAATTTTTACATATATGCCACCTTGCCTACATGAAATGTGTATTTCAATTTTTAAAAGTTAACATAGTGGTATTTTTTGATGTGAAATGAAAGCTTTGGTTGGTATAAATGTAAGAAGCAAAGTTTAGGTATTATATCCTTAAATACATAGGTGCTGTGTGGCATGTTTGTAAATGCCCCCAAATACTAATATTATATAACTTTTCTGCAGCAGTCTTCCCTCCCTTATTACAGGCATGTAAAATGTGCAACAGCAAGAAGAAATCACTATCAACGGTTTTCGTCTGATGACGAGTTTAACCAGAAATCTTTTTGGTTGATAATGATTCAGGACATCATTCAGTAAGCAATTGACACATTTGTTTATTCATTGATATGAGCATTTGGTCAATTTAGATGAATCGGTTTTCAAATTGGTCAAACCTATTCAATCATAATAAAAGATCGCAAGAACCGATTGAATAGAAATTTAGTTTGGTTATGAACATACATTGAGAATCACACATCTTACATGTATACTATCAATTTCATTTCGCGAATACCCTATATAAAATTTAAAATTTTAATTTCTTTGGTTTAATTGGTTATATACAAATTAAAACCGAACTAATAACCAAAAATTGATATGGAGGTTTTAAAAATAGAAAACCAAATATTGATTTTTTAAACCCAACAAATAAACCGAACTTGTTCAGTTGAGTTTGGTTGTCGGTTTTGACCAAATAATGAACCCTTAATTGATTGGGTTTTCTAATTGGCGTTTTCTGGTATTTCTGCAGAAGTTTAAGATCTCTGGCTCTTTTTTTGCTTGAGCAGCCTAGTCAGTTGAAGTACATAGAATGGCCTTCTCTCGAAAGCACGGTTTGCAACAAGAAAATCTTCATCTTCGTCTTTCTTGTGTTGAGCATAATTATGATTCATCATTTAGCACATCATGCATCATTAAGTCTAATTTTCCATGTTTTTGAGAGCACCATGCTAGTTCCTTTTATTTGGTTTATGGTATTTATATGTAAAATTGAATTGCATCGATTGCAAATTATAAACATTGTTTACTGTGCAATATCTAAACATTGTTTCTCATTATAAAAGTTTCTGAAATAGAACTGCGGCAGCCTTTTAAAATTTGTAGTAGTAAAAAAATGAGCAAAGTGTCCAAAAAGTCACTTGTCTATTTCCATGGACCATTTTAGTCCCAGTGTCTATACAATTTTTAAATCAGTCCCCAAATTTTTTAAATCGAGATTAAAATATTTCTCCGTGGGACTATTTATGTAAACATTAATAAAGTCTGAGGACTAAATTTATACTTTCATAGACTCAGAGAGTAAAGTGACACCTTGCAAATAGTTAGGGGTCTTTTTGACACTTTTCTCTAATAAATTAACCCTAAAGGGTGGCTGAAAGAGTCCTCACTGGGATTATTGAACCCATATTAAAAGAGTCGGGGAACCAAATTGAAATTTTTATAAACTCTGCAACTGCAATGACCACCTATGAAAATTCGAGGGATCATTGTCATTTTTCTCTTTTATGATTCTTAGTTGTTTTTCAAGCTTAAATCTCTTTTATCTTTATGCAATCCAATCATTCTGAATAATATTTCATAATTTCTCCTGATTTCTACAGGCAAAGACGGCAACTCTCACCCTTGTTCTTGTAGCTTTGCTCATTGTGTCATTGGCTTCTGTTGACTCATTTCTCTGCTATATGTTGTCCCTCCTTTGCAGAAAAACTGCATGAACACAGGTATTCTATATTACAATCAATATTATATTGTTTGTTTATAGATACTTGATTTAGAAAACTGACGAAGGGTATATTGCCAAATTCTTTGATCAGAAATTTTTATATTTTAATCTTGGAATATTTACATAGATTCCACTTAATTCTTATGTATTTACCTATCTAACACATAAATTTCAATTTTTACATAAATGCCACCTCACCTATGCATGAGAAGGTGCATTTCACTTCCAAAAGTTAAAATAATGGTATTGTTGCTGTGATATGAAAGCTTTGGGTGGTATAAATGTAAAAGACAAAAAGTTTAGGTTTTAGATTAATGTCAATATATAAGAATTATATGGTATGTATTTAGATGACTCTTTAATCTTTGAAAATTACTGCTTATATTTTGTTACAGGAACAACATAGTCTTAGCTGATCCATAGAAAATTCTGAAGAGTATGAAGTTCAGCAGATTCTGATCTATATAGCAGAATCTGTCTTAAGATTTTTTAGTTATTCTTCAGTAGCTGTTTGATTTAAATTTGAGCAGTAGATGAAGAGTATGTGGAAGTATCATTTTGTAATTTACTATGGGTTACACTTCCAATAAGCACTCAGTTATGCTGTAAATTTTTTGTTATTAAGATCATTTAATGTTTGTCCGGAGTTATAGTTTTTATTATAGTTTTTTTATAATATCATTGCTTATTTATTGTAAATTTCTAAGGAGTATTTACATACATACTGCACAATGCTTATGTATTTACATATGTGAGACCAATATATTCATATTTATGTTCATATCACTCAAATCTTTAACATCACAACAAAAATATCATCATTATTATCTTTTTAAAGGTGAAATAAACGTACTCATGCATAGGTTTATGACATCAAGATGTTGTACGTGTAAATATCAAACTTTAGGCGTTAGATATGTGTAAATACATGAGAATTGTGTGGTATTATGTAAATTTCCCAGTTTTTTATGGCCTTCATGAAACCGAAGAAAAGATCCTAACCACAAAAACAATTTTTATTAATAGAGAAATAGGGTTATAACACGCACAAACTGAAGATAGAATCACCAAAACATAAAATAACACAAACACACACCTTGAAAGTTTATCCTAAGGGCGGTGAAAGTTGGTTGGAAGGCGGGGTAGCAAGCTGGGATAGCAAGCTAGGAAGGTGGGGCAGCAGCTGGGAAGGCTCACCAGCACTTTCGGAGGGTGGACAATGAGCGGGGAAGCGCTGGTAGTGATAGGAGTGGCCCAGACAGTAAGGTGGTTGTTGTAGGAGTGCCGACGGGCTGTTGAGAGGGGCCTGAAAGGGTTGAACAACTGGTTGGTGCAACATAAAGGGGGTTGGCAGTGCAAGGAGAAGCTGTTGGGGGAGGCCGGTGGCCAAGGAAAGTGAAGGAGAAGAAGTAGGAAGATAAAATGGGAGATACAATCACCACCACATAGTAGGATACAGTTGGAGTACCATCACCTCCTCGAATACAACCCTATGAATGGGATAAATAATCCACACAGGAAATCTGAAATCAACACACAACAAAAACTCCTTGCAAACTCAAAAAACAATCATATAAATAGACTCCCATTGATGAAGAAAAGGAAAGAGCTAAAGAAAGAAGCTTCCACATGAAAGGAAGAGGTGGAGAGGCAAGACATAGCCATTAAAATACTTTCATATGGGGAAGAAGCAAAAACAAAAGAAGGAAAGAGATGCGGGAGTCCACTCGCCCCGCCTGGGCTCCTGCCCGGGCCGCTCAACCGGGATTACCCTAGACCAGTCTTCAAAAGGAGAAATTTTTCCATATAGAGTATGTACACAACTCTATGTGCGGACTTCCAATAATATGCCGCAACGTGGTAGTTATTGTGAGGTTATTGACGTGAAACCGCAGAGGTTATAAGGGGTTATTGTGGGGGTTAATGCAGAGTTTTATTGAAATGGAACTGCATAAGTTATTAGAGTAGAACCACAGAGGTTATTGGGGGGGGGTTATTAAGGGATTATTACGACGTTATTGGAATTAATGTCCCAATAACCCTTTAATAACCCCCAATAACCCTCCCAAATAACTTTCATGGTTCCACTTCAATAAACTCCGCGGTTCCGCTTTAATTTTTTTTAGGTGGTCTGACATAACACATGATGTTATATTACTGGAGTTCGCACGTAGAGCTTCATACGTACCCCGTATGAAAAAAATTTCTCCTTCAATAGGCTTGTTGGTTAGCTAGCGGGAGTTCCCGCTACGGGAGACCTCGTTGTCGTATTCGAGAGTCCTGCATCAATGTGGGAAGCCCGTCCTCACGTCCCACGTCCACACTGGGAAACCCCATGTTACTTCATTTGACATTTTTATTGAACAAGACCTCATTTGGGGCAGCTTCTAAGTGCGGCGACATTTTCAAAACACCACCTTTTTGTTTGATAAGTGCGTTGGGACAACTTTTTCCAAAACGACGTATTTGATTCTTTAGTAAATGCCGCCGCAGGATAAACTTCGCGACCCGCGTTCATTCGCGACTTTTACCCCTGCTGCCCTCGTCTCTCTCGCCTCAGCTGCCTCTCGCGATCCCTTCCCTCTCGCGGCCAAAATCATCGACTTCGTGAACGAACCTTCGCGATACATAACTGGGATGACAACGAAGGGATCATGACTTAAAAACTTCGAGTTCACGCGTTCGTCGTTCTCCCCTCTCCACAATCTTTGCTCGCTCTTCTTTCCCTCAAGAGATCCAAAAGGCCATTTTTGTCAAATTTCAAAATGTCTACTTTGCCAGCTTTCCTTCTATGAGCCCAAGGTTTGTTGTATGGCGTATGCAGCTCTCTTCGCTTCCCCAAAGCCCTCGCCTCTTCTTCCCAAGCGCGAAGAAGCTAATGGAAGAGACACAATTTATGTAGCGGCCGTGCCCCTTAGGGCTCCTTGCGGTCTAGCACAGATGCTTGTGTCGATTGCTTACTCTCTCGGAGCCTGGGATTTGCAACATTTCATAGTCTTTGTTAAACCTAGCTGTCCTCATCATGTCTTTTTGATTCCCGTTCTGGCTTTGATTTATCAGATTTCCTCCTAACTTTTTTATTTAAAAAAATGGGATTTTTGTGAGCTATGCTTTCCTTATGTTCTATTGGATATACCATGTTTGATCAAAGGTAGTAGGGTTTTCAATGTATTCTCTTGCATTGTACACAAATATTGAAGTTCTATGTATGGTCCAAAGAAGATGCTAAAAAAATTAAAATAAAATGGGTAAACTATCTTCAATGATGTGAGAACATGTTTCAGTAATAAAAGAATATTGATACATAATAATGATAATATTGTGTATGTGGAAATCATAGATATACTTAAAAAAATAAAATTTATTTTTCTGCTTTTGCAATTTCAAACATATTGGCAAGACAATTTTGTTACAAACAACATAACTTAGCATAACAGAATAGTCATTTATCCAACTGCAAATTAGTTGTTTTTAAACAGCTGCCAGAATAGTCATTTATCCAACTGCATATTAGTTGTTTTTAAACAGCTGCCCCAAACAGTCAGTTATTAGTATAAGTTGTTTATTTGGATAAGCTGCAGTTGCCCCAAACAAACCCTAAGACCAACTCTATCCACTATCTAACTAAATTAACTGTTGATTTCTCTGTTTTAGATATATTTTATTCTTAGAGATGCAATCTTGGCTAAAAAACAGCAAAATTACCTGGAATATTACAATTTAGAAGCCAATAAAAATGTTAAATTCAAACATTTTAATGAAGTTTAAGCTTTTGTAAAACCTAACTAATGTAATCTATTCCTTTATTTTAGGATGAAAGATAGTGTTTTAAAATTAATATAATCTATTTCTTTATTATATTCACTGTTGTTTTTTCTCGTCAAGTTTATTTTAGTTTTTACCTCAAGTTATTGATGATTTTTTTTTATTGTGGCAAATTTTTCGAGCAAATATATCATAAAGAGAAAATCATATTGTGTGGATGATCGGTGTGTGCAGATGGGTGTACTTAGGGTGCACACCTTTAATCCGCACCTATGAATGACTACACGTAATATTGCCTTCATAGAAGAGACATCGAAGAAGGAAGTTAGTAGTGAAGCTGATAAAAATGGTGATGGCAAGGCCGAAATCGAATCATTCAAAATTAAAGAGAGAGAGACTAGAAGTGTAAAAAAATGACTTCATTTGATCATATGATTTAAACTTCACTATAAAAGTTTATTTTTGGGTTGAGTTGATTAACTTGCATGTTGGGTTTGGGTCCGCAATCCCAACCCATTTAAAGTTTGTGTCAGATCCAAGTTGGTTGGCAACTTGGGCAATGTTCGAGTAAATAGTTGGTTGCGTCCATCAATGTTGATCAAATTCTAAGTTAGATTGGAACACAATATATTAATCCAAGTTGGCACTTTTAGTAGAGTGCACTCTATTTGTAGGATTCATGAGAGGATTTTGATATTATATTATGATAAAAAAGAATTAAGAGTACATATCCAAGAAAAGCATATTAGATAATTTTATTTATTTTTGTTTTTAATTATTTGAATTGGAAGATCTACATATGTACCCCACAATTCTTATGTATTTCTATATTAACACACAAATTTGGATATTTTCATTAATATTATTTTATTTATACATCTAAAATATATTTAACTTTAAAAGGATAATAATAGTGATATTTTGATGTGATTAGAAAGATTTAGATGTTGGGAATGATAAAAATAATTTTTTTTAAATGACCTCAAAGGATAGGAAAAATATTACATCAGTACTACACACGTAGAGCTACGTGCGTAGCCAATAAAATTATGCCACGCGAAAAATAAAAAAAACGGCGCGATAACACGGGGGAATATTCCTCCCGTGTTATTCATGTGTTATTCTATGTTATTTATGTGTTATTGTGTTCTGAGAATATTCCTGGTATTATAATAATACAATAACACATGAATAACATATTAATAACATACAATAACACATGAATAACACGGGGGAATATTCCCTCGTGCTACCGCACCGTTTTTTTTTATTTTTTGTGTGGCGTGATTTTATTGGCTATGCATGTAGCTCTAGGTGCGTAGTACTGATGTAATATTTTTTCCAAAGGATAATATTTATTATTTGAACTCAGGATTTTAAATAAGAAATTATACTCTCAACCACAAGGTTTTTTTTTTTTTTAAAACAAGGTTTTATATGTAATTTCTTATGCATGCCCCATTTTCCTTAAAACCCTCGCCGAAGACCAAAGCCCTCCTGCGTAAATACTGCTTAAAACCGGGAAACCTTAAAACCGGCCACCAAACAGCTCTATAGTTCACTTCTCCATAGAGAGTCTGAGCGAAAGAGACCAGATGTCATCTCGAGCTATCCTCCTCGCCTTCCTACTCGCCGCCCTCCTCTTTCTTGGTTTTGCCACCTCCGCCACAAAACCCGCCGCCGACGACGCTGATGAGGACCTCAGCTTCCTCGAAGAGGGCGACGAGGAGGACGCATCTCGCGGGTTCCCTAGCCCCGACCATGCCTTGCCGGATGAGGACGATCACGACGAATTCGACGACGACGAGCTGGATCAAGGCGACTTTCTCGATTCGGATCACGGATCTTACGAGGCGCCGCCGCCGGTAGACGAGAAGGATGTGGTTGTGCTAACGGGTGTTAACTTCAGTGAATTCATAGAGAAGAACCAGCATGTCATGGTGGAATTCTACGCGCCGTGGTGCGGGCATTGTCAAGCGCTAGCACCAGAGTACGCTGAGGCAGCCACGGCGCTTGAACTAGAGGACGTAGTGCTTGCAAAGGTTGACGCTACGGAAGAGAACGAGCTCTCACAGAAGTACGATGTGCAGGGTTTCCCTACCATTTACTTCTTCGTTGATGGAGATCACAGGCCCTACCCGGGACAGAGAGCTAAGTAAGTTGACCGTTGACTCCTTATATTCGCTACTCTGTTGCTTCTTGCTTGATCTGCTTAGATCTTGAGCAATCACTTGGTTTTGTTCTCAGGCAGCGGTATTGTCTACTATGTGGGCTTCGTTTTATGTTTTAAGCATGTTGCATTAATTTTAAATTTAGGCTGGAGAAATAATGTTTTAATGGTTTGTTTGGATGTCCTATTAAGTGCTCGGCTCCTGCTATTTATTTAGCATGGTTTACTTGGAATTCGGGACATCGTCAGTTTTTATCCTGTTCAAAAGATATTTAGAGGGAGGAATGTTGATTTGATTTGATTTTATTGAATTTTTTTGGTTTATTTCTTGATTGCTTCTTGATAAATGAGTTTGAAACCTTGAATTTTGAAAAGGAATCTTTAGCCAAAGAAGAGGAATGGAAAATTGGTGATACATGCAGAATGAGTATACTTGTTTTGCATTCTGAATTGCTGAGCTTACTCCAATGCTTCTTTTGTTTTAGGATGGATTTGCTTGCTTTGATTTATATTTAATGGCGTTGATCATTAATTGTTTCTGATTCAAAAGTATACTTTTATGCCACTTTCGTTTGCATGAAGTGTGGAAATGCCTTTAGGTGTAATGAATTCCAGAAATGACTTTAGACCGATATTGACTTCCGTCTGATTTAAGGCGGAGGGGAATTAGCACAATTTTTTGTTATCATTTTACATAAAATGGCAACACTAGTTTGAGATACACATTAACAAAATCGCTGGACTGGGTTTTGCATCACTTTCTAATAGTTCATTTTAGATAAACTTGGCTTGGACTTTGGTGCTTTAATGTATGATGGGGATCCAAACTAGATGATTTCTGTGCTATGTAGAAGGAAATAAAATATTTTCTCTGTAATATTTGAAATTAAACTTCATTTAAGTTAAAGCATTTCAGCTTCACTGATAATCCAAGTTCACCTCTCACCTAAAGCTACTATTCTACGTAGGGAAATTTACATATGTTGCACATAGTTCTTATATATTTACATATCTCACACACTTGGCTTTTACCTTTCTCACTGTGTTGTCATTATCTTGATATTTTTTAATTGTTTCAACTTTTCTCTGTTTGTTTTGTTATTTTTTAAGTTTATTAATATTATGACATATTGATTGCTCTTACTCAATATATTGCTGTTATAGTTTGTTGAAACTTGCATTTCAGGGATGCTATTGTTACCTGGATTAAGAAGAGGATCGGGCCTGCTGTTCAAAATATAACAACAATTGAAGAGGCTGAAAAAATACTTTCTTCTGGAAGTAAACTAACCTTGGGCTTCTTTGACTCTTTAGTGGTAATTTCTTGTACATGTGATTTAGCAAAACCACTGGAGCCACCTTCATGGTTAGCAGTATATTTCACAATCAAAGTGATTGGTTTGAATGCTTTGATTTTGAGTTTTTGTAAACTAATATGTTCATGAACTCCCTTAATTTTTCAAGCCAATTTTATCTGTAATATAGGTGATAGTATTTGCATTTCTCCTTGTTCTAAACATCGAGTGAACTTTATTTTTGTGCTTAAGAATTTTCTTTTTGGGTTATAGGATTTGAATATCTGCACAAACTTTTGCAAACCATTCGTTTCTACAATATTGTCCAAGCTAGTTGCCTCATGTAAGGTTGAGTTTAAGTTCTTGGTTAAATGTAACTTCATTATGAATAATATGCACCTTCTAACAAGGAGTGGCAAACAAACAATGATACAGCTGATGCAAAACAGTTGGGATGTAGATAGCTATTTGGGGATTGAGTTTGTCAATGTAGAGGATAGGAAAGGAGTCGCTTTTATGAGAAGAATCATGTTGAACATCATTTGATGCCATTTTAATGCTTATGTTTGTCACTTTCTATTTCTTTATCATATGGTTTAGATGTTAGACCGACACTTATAGCACTGTCCGTCTTGTGCTCCACTAAGTCAACACCAAGATTACCAAAATAGTCATTTTTTATGTGAGGCGTAAGACTAAAAGGGCAATTTAGTCATTTTTTAATTATTCTTGTGGGTTATAAATAAGGCTTAATATTTTCAGGTTAGGTTATGCATAATTGCTGTCTTGAATCTTAGGGTTTGGGTTTGGGAGAGATCACACGTCTCTCGAATCGCAGGTGATATCTTTTGTCTTATGGATTGTATCTTTTTGATTTTGGTACCGACAAAATAAAATCTATTATTTTGCCCTAAGTCCTACGTAAACTTCTCTCGTTTCTATCAAATTGGTATCCAAGATGAACTGACGCTTTCACTATTCGTAGTAGCAGGTTCCGTTTCTTTTGCAATTCGTAGCCGCATTTTGTCTTAGTGACCAAACCTCGCGATACAGTCACAATTTGAGCTCACTAAGAAGTCAACTATGAGATCGTGTTGTATATGCTCACTCGCGCTACATGCCTCTGTGATCAAACCTCACAATGCAATCACGATTCACGCTAGTTGTGAAGCCAATGATGGGATTGCGGCGTAATGGAGTTCCGTCACCTTCATGACCGTAACTTGCAATATAATCGTGATTGAGCTAGCGGGGAAGCCAACAATGAGATCATGACGTACATGAGTTTTGCCTTCGTGATAAAAAATCATCCCAAGGGTAATGAAGTCCAATAAATTAGATGCATTAGATGAGAAGTTATTTTATTTTCGATTGTTATTTTTTTGATCAACGAAATGGAATAGAGTGCTCATATTTTGACTGCGAATGCAAACACAAATTGTCTTCGTTTATTGTAAAAAAAATAAATAAAACAATGAACTTCACATAATTATCTCGATATGGTACTTTTCGAGCACAGATGAAAACACACCTTTAATTCTGAATAAACTTTGTTTGTTTATGCATGCATAATGACTAATTGGAAACAATTTATATATTCTCATCCAAATTGCATACATCATTTTTTATGTTCCAATCCAAGAAAGAAATGGGATACTAAGAAAATACCAACCAAGCAACACCTCTTTTGAAGGAATATGTTGGAATATTCTATTGTTGATACTGCATCTATCCTTTCTTTTTTCCATCTCATTTACGACGGGATTGCAGCGTAAAGAAGTTTCTTCACCTTCGTGACCATACCTCGTGATACTATCGCGACTGAGCTAGCGGGGAAGCCAACAACGAGATCACGACATAATGAGTTTTGCCTTCGTGATAAAAAAACATTATGAGAGTAATGAAGACCAATAAATTAGATGCATTGGAGGAGAAATTAGAGCGAGATGTCAACCAATTCAAATCGAGCATTGAGGAGCTTCTCTCAGTCATGGGGATTG